CCTAACTTAAAGCAGTGAAAGAAAATCTTTCACCCAATTCACTTTAAGAATTCATTGCTAGTATTCCATTACCATAATCTCAGATCTTGATATGTGACATCAAAGTATGGAGGACAGGTGTCTCTGGCCCCACATAATTCATTTGAATTCTCTAGAAGAAACATCCGGTTTTCCTGATAGGCATTCACAGATACAGACATTCGTTAAATGACAGAATTAGACAGGTGTGGGGCTGAAGATCTGAGCACATTCACTGATAATGGCCTTCATTTCTCACGATCAATAATATCACTCCTTTATGAAAAGTGATGATGTAAATAGCACATTTCTTTAGAGGATCCAGTTTGAAGGGGAACATGTTGTCTGTCCTAAGGATAGATTCACTGAGCTCCTAAAATGCTGCAGTGTTTATGGAAAATGCTAATTCTGCTCCAGCACACAAACTGCTTTCCTATTTTGATTACACACGTAGTTATGATTTAGTCAATGGTTCTCAAAGTGTTTTGCTCATCAGAATCTTACTAAAAATGTCAGGAACAAGCTTATGTGTTCAGAGATGATGATTTCATACCTAAGTGAGACACACATTTAAATTTTAACCAGCTCTGATTCTGTTGTTCTTAGAGTAACAATTTCAGAAAGCAAGTATATAAAAGTTTGACTACAATACTAAATATAAAAATATTAAATTAAAATGAACTTTGTAAATCTGACAGCCATCTTTCATTTTGTCCTCTCCACCCTTTCAACCTAATCTGGCAGTTTTTCTGCTGGTACACAGTTCTCAAGACATCTATGGATTTTTCATGCATGTAGGAATTCACTCTTCTAGAAAAAGCCTCCTCTATACATGCTACTGGATAATGTCAAATGTTTTCCTTTTAGTTTAGATAACTGTGGATAGTATCCATGAATCAAATACTTCATGGCTTTGAATGACTCTCTGTGCAAATAAATATTGTGACTATGGTCTTTGTTCCCTAAAAAAATTAGTAATAAGTTTTTCAGCCATATCCTTTGGTTTCTTGCTGGGGAAATCTTTTCCAGCACTCAGTCTATGAAGCTTAATGTCTTTAGAAATGTGCATAGGTAAGAACTTCCCAACTTCATCATGTTCTGTATGGCTTATTAGCTTTTCACTAATTTATTTCATCTTCTTTATATATTACTACAAGTAGCAAGAAGAAATCCAGTTACACCTTCAATTCTTTGGAAATGTTCTCTATTTCCTCAGGGTACACCTTCATTTCTTTGGAAATTTCCTCTATTTCATCACAGTTCATAGTTTTAGGTTTTGCTTTTCATAGACCTCTGAGAACACAATTTAGGCTTATATGACTGCAACAAGTATTCATTTTCCTTGAATGTCCAATGACTTGGTCTCATTTTATTCTGAACTTCAACAGCAGCGCTTTTGAAAGAAGTTTTAACAAATTATATATAAGTATGTGTGTTGTTGTGATATTTTGTGATATACTGGTATATACTGGTATATGCTTTGTACTGCTTGGATTAGGATAATTAACATATCTGTCACCTCAAATTTTATATTATATATATATATATATATATATATATATATATCCATTGAGGTAATACATTAAAAATCAATTCTGTTCTCTATTTTCAAATATAAATGGTTATGTAGCTATCGAAATTTAACTGTGCAATGAACACCAGAAGGATTCTCCAATCTAGCTGAAACCGTAGACTCCTAGACCAAAGTCCTATCATTAACCTTCCCCACATTTAGCCTCTGGGAAGCACCCTTCTATTATTTATTCAAATGAGTTCAATTTTATGAGATTCCTCATAGAGTATTTTTGTCTGTCCATCTGGCTTTTTTCACTTGACATAATATCTTCTAGGTTCATCCATGTTCTCACAAATTATATCATTTTCCATTTTATTTAAATGGCTGAAATATATATGTACATATCACATTTTTAAAAATCTGTTTATATGTCGCTGGACATTTGAGGTTTTTTTTTAAAAAACCTAGCTATTGTGAAAAAATGCAACAATGAAATTGTGAATGTAAGTATCCTTTTAGCATACTGATTTCAAAGCCCAGTGGTAAGATATGTTGCAATATGTGTTGATATTATTTCTAGTTTTCTACACTATTTGTTTTCTACAATGATTGTATTAATTTGCAATACAATCAACAATACAATACAAAATCATCATTTTATGGGAGCCTATATAAATTCATACTAGTCCAGAGCTTAGATTTGAATGGTCCATAGAGGTAAAAGATATTGTATTGTTTAAGTGTTCCCTTTCCTCACTAGCACTTGTTACTTTTCATGTTTTTGAAAATAGACAATCTAACAAGTAAAATGTAATAACTCAGTTAGTTTCAATTTCCATTTTCTTTATAATCAGAGATGTAAGAATTTTTTATGTATCTGTTGGCTATTTAGATATCTTGTTTTGAGTAGCATCTTTTAAAGTTCTAGCCCATGTTAATACAGTTATTCCTTTTCTTGTTAGTATATGGTTTGAGTCCCAGAACCATTTTGGATGAACCTATTACTCAGTATTTTCCTTCATTTTTAGTAGTCTCTTCCCTCTGTTGATTGGTCCAGCTGTCTGTTTCTGCTTTAATGTTAAAGGACTTATTTAAAAATTCCTTTTAGACTTCTAAAATGGATATTTAACTCTGTTTTTTTTCTAGAAATTTTATAGTTTATAATCTTAAAGTTTTTGTACATGGCAATAGATAATATTCTAATTTCATTCATCTGCATGTGGACACAACTTTTTGCCCCAAATTGTTTGTTGAAGATATAATCATATCTACATTTTGAGTTCTTCATATCTTCATTGATTATGAGTTGGTTTAACACGTGCAGATTTATTTCTGTACTCTCTATTCTGTTATTTTGATCTTTGGGTCTGTTTTACTCCAATACCAGTCTGTACTAGCTACTATAGCTTTGTGGTACATTTCAAGATTTTTTAGTATTTACACAAGATTTTTTTTCATGAATTTAAAAAGGTTAAACATATTTTTAATTAAGGAATTAGTAATCTTAAATGTCTGGAAACGCACTTTTTATAAGTTATGAGAAATTGTAAACAGGAGCAAACATCATTTTATGGGAGCTTAGATTTGAATGGTCCATAGAGGTAAAAGATATGAGATAACATACTGCAGTGTAGAGATCAAGATCTAGAAGAAAATATCAAAGTAAGGTTGGGGCTCCTGAAAGATGTGCCCTTAATAGATAGTCAACTCTACAGAGGGGCTTAGAAATGTATAAACAGCAAATGAGATAGGTTAACAAGAAATTTCATCCTCCAGAATATAGCACCCACAATATAACATGGTAAAAAAGATGGAAGTTGTAAAATAAACATTGTAAAGAAAAACATTTTTTAATCTCTGTGTGTTTGTGTTATAGGAAATCAGAATTACATAGAAAAATATTAAGGATATGTAGAAACATTATTAAATATGATAATTTCCTAGATCTTTATATTCAAGAATATGAATACATAGTAGTGGAAAATGATATCCATGTATGTAGTAACATTACAGAACAAACAGACCAAGAGAAAATCTTCAAAACAGCCAGAAAAAATGTTACTGAGAAGAGTGACAAACAGTAAACAACCTTCTCAGTGGTAGCAGAGAGAGCTAGAAGACAGTATTACAATAATTCTAGAAACTCAGAGTAGATAAAATATAATTTTACATTGAGAAAAATGTTTCTCACTGATAATGAGCAAAACATATTTTATAGATTTTGTAAATGTCGCACAGGCACAACGGTAAGTGCAAATCTGCTCTGAAGAATATAAATAAATCAATCTCAATCTTCCTCCCTAACTTCCTGCCACTATTGATTGCATCTTTATTATATATTTCAGACCTCTGATCTTGCTTTTTCAAATCTGAAAGATTTAAGTAGTCCCATGTAACAGTACTTACATTGTTTTCCCTGTATTTTTATAAATTAGGAGTTTTTCTTGTCTAACTTTTGTATTTGCTAGTATCATATAGATTTTTAAATAATGTTTTCTTGTTATAATTCTTATCTTGTAGGTCTTCATGATTTTATCTCTGATTTTATTTCTGTTTCTAATAATCTACCTTCTTTGTTTATTGGCCCTCTTTGTTAGTGCATTCCTTCATTTGAAGACTTTAATATATATGGAAAATTATTATTTTTAAAGGCCAACTAATATTCTACTTTATTAGTGTATCTTTATTTTTGAAACACTGTCCTATTTAGGATATATAGCTTCTGCAAATGCAAATTAACATTTCACTCATAATCAAAATGACTATCATCAATGAAATAAAAAATAACAAATTATCATGATGACATGGGGAAAAAGTAACACTTATGCACTGTTAGATTGTAAATTTATAGAGTCAGTATGGAAAATAGTATGGGAACCCTAATAATAAACTATAAATGGATTTATTATGTAATTCAGCTAAACCACTTGGTATATACCTAAAGGAATCAGAATCAACATGCTATGGGGACACCTGTTTAGCCATGTTTATTTCAGCACTACTTGTAACAGTCAAGATATAAAAACATTCTAGGTTCCTGTCAATGATACAAAAGATAAAGAAAATTGCATATAATATTAGATCACAGAGAAGAATAAAAATGTCATCTGGAGGAAAAGGTATGGAACTGGAGATCATCATATTAAGAAAAATAAGCAAAGGGACAAAAAAAAAAGAAAGAAAGAAAGAAAAAAGAAAAATAAGTAAGATGCCAAACACAAATATTTATATCTTCCCCTCATACACAGAAACAAATCTAAACCAAAACAAAGATGACCTAATATAAAAGAGAGATTATCAGGGAAGTGAAAGGACACCAGACTGTGAGTAAAGAAAGTGGAAGATAATGGATAGTCTGCAGGATGGATATGACCAAAGCAGCATGTATTCCTACATGGTAACATCACAGTGAAACATCAACTGGTCAATTAATATTAATTAATAATTATAAAAATATATCAAATTTATGCTCACCTTGGCAGCATATATACTAAAAATTGGAACAATACAGAAAACATTAGCATGGTCCCTACGCAAGGATGACATGCAAACTTGTGAAGCATTTCATATTTAAAAGAAAAAAAAATATCAAATTTGGTAAAGATAGTTGATATACTGAATACTAAAATTGAAATTTAAAGCGTCTTTCATTTATGAATATGAAATAGGACCATCTAATTTGAAATATGTGAGGTTAAAAAACATAAAGTAAATATAGATAATCAAAATATATAACATTGGACAAAGATTATTAACATTAAAATGTCCTAATGTTTATATATGGTTTTTTAAGACAGATGCAATTTTTCATTAGTTAATATATGAATACAATATTGTTATATTCTCATATACTTATTGTTAAATTTCTTAGATTAAATTCTTAGAGTTGCTGAGACAAAAAGATTACATATAGTAATAAAAATGGATATAAAATAGTTTCATTGCTTTTCCCTTTGACTGAGCTCTGCAAGTCATTTTTATTATAAAAAGGATAATTAAATCATATCATATCTGTTCTAACTGCATTTCCTTACCAGTCAGGAACTATATCATGGAAAATCATCTGAGCACTCAGCCTGTTTCATATCCTCATGGTGTTTCAACCTATTACTTATTGTAAAATATCGCTTTCCACGGAATTGAACTTTGTAATGCAAGCCTACTATATTTACCATCCACACTTCTCACCGAGCGAGGTAAGTGCAGTTCTGCACTACAATAGTGATAAAAGAAACGTCTAACCATTCCAGCTGCTGCAGATGTGAACTTTGTTTCTAAATTGGGAGGCCTACTTTTCTCTAGGGCTTCTATTGTTGGGCCAGTGATGCTAATCCTGCTTTCAGTATTAAACAGCCTTAGTTGCAATCCATACTTTCTATACTGAAGCACCTTTCAATTGCAGACATCTTTCCAATTCCTGAAACCAAGGTACTAAAACAAGTTTTATTTCCCACCCTACAGTTCCTGTGATATTTTTGTACCTTTTCTGCACATTCTCTCATTGGCACTTAAAATGGTCTGATTAGGATTCTTTACTTGTGATCCAAAGAACCTTGAATAGGATGCATTTTATTCATAGGCTTTAATCTTTCTTCCATGCTGCCATTTTAATCTCTTTTTTCCTACTGCCACATAATTATTTTCTAAATTTTTGTATTGTAAATCTGATATAATTCACAAGAAATGTTTAATGTAGAGTGGAACTACTCATAGTATTTTTAATTTCAGTTCTAAAAAATCCATTTGCACTACTTACCAAAGGTCTGCCTTTGGGGAAAACACCCTTTCCGTAGCCTTCTTCTTTTAAAGCTATGACATGAGTTGCAGCTTAGCCCTGGAAGACTTATTCCAAATAGCTGAGTCTATGACATCCACATTTATTAATGATAATGCAGTCAGACAGGCAATTAATTAGCTCTTGCAAAAGTCTTGGTGACTTCTAACAAGGGACTGTACTACTTTTGATGGCATCAGGGACAGAGAGATAGAGAATACAAAGTATAATATAAATAATAATATACTTTGAATATTTCATCGTTTTAAGCAGTTACGAAAATCTATTGGGCAGATATTTTCCTCTTAATTTGAAATAGGAAGCACCTTCCAAAACTTTAACCAGAAATATTTCAAATAAATTTATCTTCCTGATAATTCCCAGTGGGAGATAGTAATACATATTTTAAGGGCACTAATATTATGCCTAATGTGTTTATTTCTCAAAATAAAATTATAGACTTCTACTATCAGAATTCACCTGTAGCATTTTTTGAAATCATTTATATTAGTCCAGACTCTTGTTTCAGATCTACTGGATCTTTGTTTGGGTAAATGAATGCTTATTATTAGGACATGAATCAGTTTTATTTGATAGAAAAAATTATCTAGCTAAAAACGATGCTACAAAAGAATTTTGACCCCAATTGTTTTGACCCTACACATAGGGTCAGTTCTTAATGTGACACCCTGCCACTTTTTTCCGGTTGTCACCCCTTTGTCTTCCTGCCTGAAACATGGACTGCAGGCCAGAGTAGTAACATATATCTTGTGACTAACAAGCAGCAGAAAAGATGACATCAGCCATGAGTAAGGATGGTAGAATGAATAAACAGGATGAATTTAAGAACAATTAGTATGCTAGTATAACAACTTTTTGAATTTTTTACCGAAAAAATAACTTTGGATTTGGTTAGATCACTATTTTTGCATTGTTTCTTACGATTGTATAAAATTTAGAAATGACATTATTTGGAGACTTTTAGTAAGACTTTGCAATAATGTCAAGGGTTTTAGTACTTTACTACTAATACATTTGAAACAAACATATTCTCTGCATTTTGCCTAAAACAGTACTGCTGGTTTTATGGGTTGTATGATGTCTTCCTACAGATAACTTCACACTATGGAAGAAAAACAATACTCATGAATAAAAGAAGCACTTTTTAGGTATATTACATATCTCTTCTTTGTGTATGATCAATCCCATACCAACATGTGAAAAATTTTAAATCTGTTGATGATTCAGAATATATAAAAATGTATCTTGAAAACTAAAAATAATTTTTCAAAACTGGAAATTTGGTTATCTATGAACTGATATTACAGAACTATTAAAGCAGTTGAGAAAAAAGTACAAATTTCTTATCATATATATATATATATTCTTCCTATAAAATTGTGCAAAAATATTAGCATTTTATTAATTCTTTGTTTTTTTTCATTAAAAGTTGTAAAAATAGGTTAGCTAAAGTTAAAATTAAATTTGGTACATGTGATGTAATAAAAAGCTCATAATATGCAGTTTGATTTTTATGTTAAAGTCAGAATCTGAATTTTTCTTTATATTTTTCAGAAATTGCTATTTATGTGTAGTTACCTGTTTAGTGTATCTTTATATTAAATATTACATGTTGGACAACATATTTGATATACAATATTTAGGCACCATGATTATACAATATAATGTTACTATTACAGGCCACTGAGTAAGATAAAAATATGATAGGCCGTCAGACAGGTCTAGGTCCTTGAAAGAACAGGTGCAGAAGCAGTTAAAATTGGGGACAAATAGGGAAGTGAATCACGTAGCAGTCACATAACAGTGGATTCGAATGGTGACTCCTCGCTTTTTCAGGCTCATAGAGATCTAGTTAGAATATCAGTCCTTAGGATGTGTGTATATTTGTTTGATCTTTTTTCTTGCTGAATTCTGTAAAAAAAAAAAATACAAATTTTTCCTTTCCTGTTTACCTTCCCCCTCGTTCCTTTCCCTTTTAAACAATTTCTTGCTTTTTTCACAAAATCTATTATATATTTTATTTGTTTACACTTTCAGTTCTCACATCAGAAATACAATGTGATATTTACACATGTGTGCAAATGAAAAAAATAATGACCACCAAATGAGCTTTATAAAATATTCTGAAGGATATTTTACAGAGATAGTGAAGAGCACAGTTCCAAGAACACCAACAGAAAGAAGCCATCAGGAAAACCAAGCAATTAAACAGAGGAGCAAGACTGGAAAAAACAGTAGAGGAAAATAATATGATAAGGATAAGCCAATACATACCAGTTACAACCATCAATGCATGCAAATAGTCTCAATTCACCAATCCAAAGAAAAAAGACTGGTGGAATGGATTAAGAAACAAGGTCCAAAAACGTGCTTCACACAGGAAATACATTTAACAGAAAAAGAAATTCGTTGACTGAAAGTCCAAGGATGGAAAACAGTATCTCATGTGACAGAAACCTATAGAAGAACAGAGGTAGCTATCCTATTTGCAGACAATGTGAATTTCAAAGCAAGATTTGTTTAAGATTAAACAAAAGAGACAAAGAAACTCACTACATACTTGTTGTGAAAAAATTTGAAGAAAAAGAAGAGAAAGCAGTCACTAATATGCATGCACCAAATACCAGTGCACCCAACAACATAAAACAAATATTAATAGACATGAAAAATCACATAAGCACTAAAACAATTCTAATAAGGGAGCTTGATACCCTACTGTCACAAATAGATCGACTAGACAAAACAAAATCAACAAAGACATATCAGAACTGAACATATCAGAACCATGAATAAATGGACTGAGTAGATGCCTACAAAGTATTCAACCCAAGTGACACACACACTTTTTTCAGCTGCATATAGGACATTATCCAAAATAGAACACATACTAGCCTATAAAACATGCTTAACTAAATACAAAGGAGCTGAAATTACCCCATACATTATTATCAGAACACAATGCAATGAAATTATAAATAAACGGTAAAAGAAACTACAAAAACTCCATATGCACATGGAAATAACATCCTCCTAACAACCACTAGGTTATAAGTAAAATTAAAGAAGAAATTACATATACTCTACATTTAAATGATGTCAGTACAACACATCACTACTTATGGAACAAAATAAAGCAATTTTAAGAAGGAAATTCATATGGTGAATTTTCAAATCAAGGAAACAGAATAAATTCAAATAAACAATCCATTGTTGACTATCAAACTTCTAGGAAAAGAAGAACAGGTTAAGCCAAAGCTCATACTATGGAAGAAGTTATAAATATTACAGAAAAAAATTAATGCAATCGACACTAAGGAAACAATGCAAATAATCAATGGATCAAAGAGTTGGTTCCTTGAAAGATTAAATGAAATGTATAAACTCTTGGCCAAACTTGTCAAAAAAAAAAAAAAAAAGGAAAGAAAAGACTCAAAGGCATGCAATTAGAAATGAAAAGGATGAAATTACAATGAATGCCAGTGAAATTCAGAACCTACTGCAAGAAACTTCATTCTAATAAGATAGAAAATACAAAAGAAATGAACAGATTCCTAGACATAGAGGAATTTTCAAAACTGAATGAAGAAGATATAAAAATGACAAAAAACAATATTAATCAATGAAATTAAAAATGTAATAAAAACTTACCAACAAAGAAAATTCTGACAGACTTGCTGCTGACATCTATAAAAAGTACTCCTAAAACTTTAATGAAATTGAAAGAGAAACAATACTTCAAAAGTAATTCTGGAAGCATTTTGATATTACCTACATAGCAT